AAGTTTAAGGAACATGATGTAGTTTCAGTTTAAAATTCTGATTACACAGAGTATTTAAAATGGATTTTGTAAAAACTATCCAAAAAGAGTAAGGACAATATTACCAGAGTGGTTTTAACGATTAAACTCCAGCCTATAGGAGGTTGTAGCAAAGGTTGCAGCTTTACTATTATTAAATCAATGTAATATTATAATGTAACTATTAATTATTGCCCTAGAGTGTTACGTTATTCAAATGGATTGCATATGTTCATATTTGTGCATAATGCTTACTGATAAGCGATACTACATTTTTATAATGCATGTGATTTTTGCAAAATTTTTATAAATCTTTATTTCAAAATGTTTAATGTTTCAAATGCTCAAATTAATTATTGTAATGCTTATTTATCATTGCAACGGGGGGCAGGCTGTTGATGCTCTTATTGGCGAGGTACTGGTCTGTGTGTAGGTTCACCTCTCTCTAGCCTCTCAGTCTTCGTCATAAAATGGGTCAAACTCATTGACTGTTTGGATGTTTCTAAATTTGTTATGAGGTTTAATAAATGCGTTTATTAATTGGGAAATAACAACAGTATATTTTAAAATGTTACGTTTGAACTACACTCATGTCCATAAATTAAGGATAATGCAAAATCAGGCAAAGGAAGAGTTATAAGCAAAACAAATTTGACTTATTTGTAAACCTTATTTATTAAACAAAAGGTAAAGAGCAAAAAAAGATGCTATATGTTTGATATTATTAAAAAAATTAGCGATTTTTTTTTCTCCTGGAGCAAATTACAAAAAAAAAAAAAAAAAACTTATTTACAAAAAACCAATATTACATGGTTGGTTTGATTGTTAATACATTGTATGTCTCCCAGACGATGCAATACAGTCCGTACAACGCCTAGGCATCTGAGTATCAAATTATCGATCTGATCTTGGGGGATATTACATCACTCAAAAAGCAATGCACTCCGAAGTTCCGGTAGACATGTAGAAGGAGGTTGACGGGCTGCAACTCGTCGGCCAAGCATGTCCCACACGTGTTCTACTGGATTCAAGTCTGGTGAGAATGCTGGCCAGTCTGTACGGGTGATATCCTCCGATTGAAGGCATTCGCTTACGATATTTGCACGGTGAGGACTGGCGTTGTCATCCATAAACAAATTGTGTGCCCATGGCACCCAAAACAAACGTTACATGTTGTTCCAGAATGACGTCCCGATAGATATGGCTTGTCATGATTCCAATTTGAACATGAAGGTCAGTTCTGGAACCCAGAATAATTCCACCCCAAACGAGCACTCCTACACCACCGTAACGGTGTCGTTCAATGATGTTTTTCTTGGTGGTAACGAAATACCTGGAGCTCTCCATATGAAAGTCCGGCGAGAATCAGACTGCAAGCTAAACCTGGACTCGTCGGAAAACATCACACAAGCCCACTGTTGCGGTGTCCACAATGCATGCTCTCTACTCCAGGCTAACCGCAGGCGACAGTGAGTTGCAGTAAGTGGAACGCATCTGACAGGTCTACGAACATATAACCAATCTGCCCTAAGCGTCTGTACACGGTCTGCCTTGAAATTGTCGTACCAGTGGCTGAAGAGAGCTGACGAGGCAGGTCTGAGGCTGTGCTCCACCTGTTTGTTTTGGCAGTAACTGCCAAATACCGGTCCTTATTCGGCTTGTAACTCTGGGGCGACCTGTGCTGTAACGTCTAATCACATTACCATCATCTTGGAATCGTTGCCAAAGCCTGGAGATTACACTCTGGGCAATTCCAAGTTCGTCTGATACCTCCAGTTGGGTGCGCCCACATTCCAGACGGCCGATAATTCTACCACGTAAAAAATCATCCAAATGCGTCCTTTGTGTCATAACTATTCGGTTATTGCACTGAAATGCTTATAAAGCTCCTGCGAACAATTTTACTTCTTTGTCTGTATTCCTTATATATCACTCTCTTACAATCTCGTCATTGTGACGTACCATTGGTGTCATCTGGTTACTTTCTGAAATTTGCATATGATTCTTGAAGATGTGTGTAGTGATTTTACAGGTGATATATTTATTTTAGAGTTCGATTTCCGCGTGACTCCGAATTATCCTTAATTTATGGACATGAGTGTATTAAGCAGTATTTTTAAAATTATATATATTTGTTATTATATTTATGTTAGTGTTAGTTTATAATATATTATTTTTTAAACTGTATATTTAAAATAGTATGACTGAAATATAAAAAATAAAAATAAGCTCTTTTCCTGAATTTATAGCCCATTCCGTACTAGAATTTTAATTTTTGTTTTAACTAAATGAATAGCGTACTTGGATCAAAAGAAGAACTATCTTGTCAAAACATGTTAAATGCAAAGAAGCCCAATTCCTAGAACATCCAATTTATCACATTGCAAACTGGATTCGGTAAACTGTTCTTTAGTGGTTAATATATGTATTCAAGTCTTTGAATTTCCTGAATGAAATGTTATATGAGTAACATAATTTTCTGCTGCTTTTGAGGTTCAGTTTTCTAAAAAGAAAGAGCTTGCAAAAGCTAAACTTATTTGACATTCTTGCTAGAATTATGATTTAATTCAAGAAAATCGCTATAGGCTTCAACAAAGCCAGATTAAACTGTCGAAAATTTAATTCGGCAATAAATTTACTTTGATATTTCTTAATGAATTTCTGTGCGTGTAACCTGTGAAAAAAAATGACATAATTTTTTCCACCGATTGAAGTGGATATAAAATAATTATAATTTATTACCCAGATCAAACTACTGCATTATTTTTTTAATTTTTACAAACATAATCTTTTTTTTAAATTTAATTTACGTGCCATATCGGCGAAGTTTTTAAAAAATCTCGTAAGTGTTAGTTTTTGTTTGAATGAATAAATATATGGGATAATTTATTCATTCAACAACCTGTGTGATATAATAGTGGTGCATTGCCGAGATACTCGGATTCGGAGATTCAACCCTATCGAAGAGTAATATGTCGAGAGAGTCAGCAATAAGTGATGCTGAAAACATATTAAGATGCATAAATTTGCGAGAATGTAATAATCACATAGCAGATCCTTTCAGATCCTCCGTAAGATGAAAAGAGAAACTCTCAAACTGGTGTAACAGACACAGAAAATATAACTAGTATGAAACTTCAAGGGCACATTAATAACCTACATTACAAAATAGATTATATTTTGGGCAAAAGATATCAAGCAAATAAATGTCCACCAAAATATACAAATATGCTAAATCCTAAATTATACTCAAAATCCAAAATAAATATTGTACACAATAAGATACGAATTCGAAAATTATAATTAATTTACGTACATATACTAAAAATGTCCTCGAAGACAAAGAACAATGAACATCTTATCAGTGGGTGTCGGAGCGTCTTCGGCCTCTGACATTCTCCCAGCTATTATGTGAATGATATTCAGAAGTTAAAAATCAGCAAAAATGTCGTTTTCAAACAATCGCTGACGTGTTAATTTTTGGTTGGATGAATAAATATGTGGGATAATAGTGGGCGCATTACCGGGGTGTTCGGATTTGGAGATCCAACCCCCTTCGAAGAATAACATGTCGAGGGATTCAGCAATAAGTGATACTAAGAACATATTAAGATGCATAAATTTACGAAGATGTAATAATCACATAGCAGAGCATTCTAGATCCTCTGTAAGATGAAAAGAGAAACTCTCAAAGTGGTTTAACAGACACAGAAAATTTAACTAGTAAAAGGTTAGTATGAAACTTCAAGGGCACGTTAATGGCCTACATTATAAAATACAGTCGAAAAGCAAAAGATATCAAGCAAAGAAACGTCCACCAAAATATACAAAAATGCTAAATAAAAATTTATACTAAAAATCCAAAATAAATATTATGCACAATAAAATACGGATTGGAAAATTAGAATTAATTCGCGCTCGTGTTCTAAAGATTTCCTCGAAGACAGAGAATAATACGAACATCTTAACAATGGATGATTCTAACATTCTTTCAGCCATTGTGCGAATGATATCTAGAATCGAAAAATCAGCAAGCATGATGTTTACCTCTTTGATTATTTTAATGAAATCTGAGAAAGTCCCTGAGATAATTTCCGAATTGGACAGTTGCCCATAAACACATTTTTCAGGCTTGTTCTCGGTTACTGTGGATTTTACAAAATTTGTTTTATTTTTTACAGTATTTTTAACCATCAGAAATTTGACTGTTTTTTTCCTAACTGCCTTTTTAGGATTTTGCATAGCCTTTTTCTCAAGAATTGGACGACACAGGATTACTTTTCTCAACCACGCCTGGCACATGATAGAATTCAGACTTTTGAGAAGTTCTGTTTTTCAGATTCATAGGATTTTGGGGGTATTGGTTAAAATTGGCTGCTGAATAAAATTATAATTACAATATTTAAGATTTTTTATCCAGTTACTCGCATATTGTGAAGATTTATGGCCAGCTGCATAGTTCACACACATCAACAAGAGTTTACACTCTGCTGAGGAATGCAAGAAATACTGGCAGGTATGATATTGTGAGCCACCACTATTATACTGGTAGCTTTCTACAGAGACACAAAAACACAACAGCTTTTGTGTACCATAGATTCTTTTTGTTCCAGGTTCGTTAATCAACTGAGCCTGCAACAGTGACATCGGAACACGTGTTCTGAATTTAATCATATTAGAAACTTTGATTACGTTAAAACCTTTATGAATTAATTTGTGACAACAAGAGTGTCAGAGAGATATTTGCTTTAATTTGGCAAAAACACTCACGCAAGGTTTTCTAAAAGACGTCAAATTCTATTATAAATCTGCGAAACGTTCCTAGTAGGCAGGCCATTTCAGTGTGCCTTGAAAACTAATTTATTCTAAATTTGTTTTACTCCTTTGGCAACTTGCTACGTCAAACAAAACTTCTGAGAGGTTAGTTTCTGAATACTTTTGTAAGCTGTGTGATGTGTACTAGAGTGGAAAGGGATGATGATGGATGTGCATAACTTATTGTGTATTTTTGTAATTGTATTAATTTTGATATATTCCTGAAGTACATCTTAAAGACGTCTTTTTTTTTTTGTAGCTTTTCTAAAGTAAGTTTTTCATTAAATTACCGCTTTTGTGTGAAATGTTTCGTGTGGAAATACCTTTGACAGCTCATTATTAAATTTGTTATAAGCAGTATTATGTGTGTTTATAAATTTTAACTGTGTGGAAAAAAATCATGTAATTTTATTTCTTGTGTATACTAAAATATTTTAATCAGTTACGCAAAAAGTCATATAGTACTTGCAGCGTGAGTTAGGCCAGGACAATCTTTAGACTCTGTACTTACACCTTTAATTTTGTGCACAGAATTCCCATCTTTTCGAAGTATTGGTAATCAAGCAGCGTAATATTTCAGTTTTTCGTATAAGGTTCAGCAGGGCAAAAAGACAGTTTTGAATTAGTTGAATGCTACATAATCATTTTTGTGTGTGTGTGTGTTAAAAAAATTAAGGTGTTACATTTGTAAGAATCAGTTTATATCTGTCTTTTTGTTATGTAAAAACACAACGTATATAAACGGCGTTAACAACTGGAATTGTTAAATTATCAGAACTAGTAGGTATTTAGACTGTGTTTAGTTAATTATGTGAAGCTCTGATTCAGAGCACTTAAACAACTTTGTTAAACAGCGTTACGATTTTTGATTCAGCTCGATTAGTTGAGAAAAGGCAAAGAAATTTGAATCTTACCTTATGGCATCCATGTGCATAGTATGAACTTTGCTTTTAACTCTGAAAAATATTTTAATTTGCTTACTAAGTTCTTGATAAGGAAGAAACATTTTGTGTTATTTTATTGCAGTTTTTAAGTATAGACAATCTGTGCCATTGATAAAGGCCGCAAAAGCATAATTCTTACCACTTTTGTTTTTGTAGGAATAAACATTGGTATATTCTGATTATCCGCATCCTAACAAATAGGTGGCATTTCATTGGCAACTTCAACTTGGTACTGTTCTTTCCATTTAAAAAAAAAGAAAAAAATTATCACCCACCTATCAATATTTGTCATAAATCCTTAAACATTATTAACGTATCCAAATAAAACATTCTTTAGCAATTCAAAATAAAAATTTTAATAATTAAATAAGGATTAAAAGAAGTATTAGAAATTAAACACTTAACTTTTTATGAGAAATCCTTTTGTAATTTTTTGTCTTGTGTTTTTCACCCCAAGTACACAGTGATCTTTCCTTTGAAAAATCAGAGAATTGCATAAACTTCGTAGCACATACAGCCAAAACACTGCATGCTGACCATGATCACAGTCATCCAAGAACAGCTGGATGTTCAATGTATGCTTCAATATAAGGAAAGTAAAAGAGTTTATAAAGTTACTAAAATAGTTTCTTTTTTTGATAATTTTTCATTGTTTAAAAAAAAATTAGTAATCAGAAACAGAGGGCATGTCACTGTGAGAGAAATATCTTGCAATCCCATTGATTTGAGTTAGCCAAAATAATATCATTAACGAGCAACAAAGTTAGGTTGCTAGAACAAAATCATTATCTAACAGTGAAATTGTCAAATACTCACATGCACCCAATACTTAACTGTAGCTGAAATAAGAAATTGTAGGAGGGGAAAGAAATTCACAAAATTTGACAGATAAAAAAAAGCACTGCTCAGCAAAATGACAAATATGTAGTATATAATCACCATTTACTCAGTACTTGGATTGGCTGTTACATGTATACTTGAAATGCACTAAAAGTGCAAATATTTTATTGAATCTTGAAACTAGAATGCAGATGATCAGAAAATTTCTATGTATTTTGTAGCAATAACTTATAAATGATAATTGATTATATAATGAGATTTTAGCTTATTGAATTGATAAACTTGTTCTTCAACAAATTAAAAGATTAATATTTTCATTCTGTTTTTGAAATTTCTCTGTTATAATTTTTTCAGTACAACCAGAACTGCATATTTATTTACCATTATTTTCTAAATTATGTATTTGTATGATTCAATAATTTGATAATATATACTAAGGTAGATAGATGTACATGAGAAGCTATTTGTAATGTTGCTGACTTCCCTGATGAAGAAATTTAAACCCGTTGTCTGTTTTAATATTTATTTTAAAACAAGTTTTCTTGGTTAATTAAAAAGTAACATTGCAGCATTATTACCAAAGGGAAAGACAAAAGCTTTCCTAATGCGAGATATGTGTTTGCTCTGCATTTGTCAGACAAAAGCCATGTTTTTGTTTCTCTTACCAGATCAGTAACGGATATCCCCAAAGGGGATGTCCTTAACGAGTCTTTCCTTAATCACTTTCAGCCATTTCGGCAGATGCTGGGATTTGTTCCTAAGAGAAATGAGATGTAAGCTAAAAAGTAATCCAGTGCTCCACTCAAAGAAAACTTTACACAAGTACAATTATACTCACTAAACATCTGTATTCTTATTCCGCTGACGTTGCTCAAACTCAACACTCTATTTTTCCACAGGTAAAAGCATTTTTTTTTTTATATTTTCAATGTAAATTTATGTTATAAATACTTAATTTATTACACATTATTTGTATATAAAAAAATCATTCTTTTTAGTTTTGGCAGTTAATGGGTTAATCCTGTTCTTTAAAAAATACTTTTATTAATGGAAGATTATCTTTTGAGAGTAAAGATGAATTATGTTTTTCAGAAAATCAAATTAGAATGAAAGAATACATTGGTTATCAGTTATATGCATCTTTAATTGGTAGAATGTATAATTAGTCATGATTATTTTTCAATAATGAGAAATATGGCATCTATGTGACAGGTTAGAAGTGTTAATATATTTAACATGGCAATATCTTCTATTTGGAGTTACACATTTTTTTTTTCATATAAGCATTTTTAAATAGGGTACATCTCAAAGTATTTCAAAATATTTGTTTGAATATATGCTCTGTTCTTGTCAAGGAACTGAAGTCAAATATTAATGTTTCAATTCATCTATTTTTATTTGCTTAATTCCCCCCCTTCATTAGTATTCTTGAAATCATGGGCTGAGTCTTATTCAAATGAATGTGGTAATTAGAATGATAGTGATGATCTGGACTAAAGATTACTGAAACTAACAGATAGAGCATGAGTGGATAGTTATTTGTGCATTGCTCTGATTCTTAGTATGTTTTATGTTGAGAAATGAACTGTGTTGAACTTGAGTTCGAACCATGTTGATGAGGTTGTTGATGAGTTTGAACCATGTTGATGACTACTTTTGGAAAAGGTTTACATTTTTTATCATTGGTTTTAATTTATTATTTCTTGTTCTTCTACAGCTGATTAATTGATGCGGAAATGAAATTATCCTTCCAAAGTATTGCAGTTAGTAATTTTTGGAAAGATGCTTAATAAATATAATTGCTTGTAATTTACAAATACCTTGCTAGGAATATTTAAATATGTAAACTTAAGCTGTGAATAAAAGACCAAACCTTAATGTCTGCTTTTAGACTAAAATTCATGTTATTCATTAGTGTATTAAATACTGGAGCTCTGATTTGGGATTAATGCACCCTGGTTCATCCCAAATTCATACATTCACAGAGATCTTCAAATTGATACTATACAAAATTATATCAAAAAACTTGCAGTACATTTTTTCCTTTCTGTACTATTACATCCAAACATTGTATCAGTTCTTTGCGATGTCCACCTTTCCTAAGAAAAACACAAATATCCTTTGATATTCTTACCTAACATTTTGTTAATTATTTGAAGTACTTACTACCTTACTGATCCAACTTTTTTCACATTGCTTTGTCTATTTTCATTCATTACATCTTTCTTCACCGATTGATGGTGGCTAAGTGAAATATCTCATTCTACCATCTCAATTCTTCTTATCATCCTTTTGTTGTTTCAGACATTCTTTTATCTGATGCAGAGTAAAAGTGCGTTGTCACTCTCTTTCCATTCGACACAAGTCAAATTTTAAGATCCTTTTTGGTGTGAACAAAATAAAGACATCTTTACTGGGAAGGAGGGATTGACTTCATATTAGAATACCAATAGCCAAGTGGATGAGCTGATTGAGCATTGGTAGTTCATCCTTTGTTCAGATTCTTGAAACTGAATGGGCAGACTGATGAGAGATTTCTGTCTTTACCTACGGCTGAGGTATCTATACTATGACAGATAACCCTCTGTTCTTGTGAACAAATAAAACATTTTTTTAAAAAAATGATAAAATAAAGATTGTTAAAAAATGTTGAACCACTTTTCCAGTGGCGTAGCTAGGGTGGGGTAAGGGGGGACATCTGACCCCAAGTGCAGCATCCAAGGGGTGCCAAATTGATGCTACAAAATTTTATAATGAAATGTTTTCCATTCTTGGCACACAGAAAGGGGCGCAAATTCTTCAGTTGTCCCCGGGTGCTGGAAACTCTAGCTACGCCCCTGCACTTTTCCTTCCGAGCTAATTTTAGCTTTAAATGTGTGTATAGTTATTAGTAGTCTTATTCATCCGAGCAGCATTATTACATGCACGAGATTTTTAGTAAATACTAATCGTTAAAGAAAGGATTGTCATTTGATACTTTTCATTGAAATTAATTTACAGGTATTTGAAATTAATTTACAGGTAAATTAATTTACAGGTATTTTAAGTGCTTTCTTCATTTCAGAAGCATATAAAAGTTGCATTTCACACCGTTGTATTCTATGTAGCCAAGAGTCACTTTAAATCTTTTAGCTCTGTTTTGGACTTGTTCATATGATAAACTGTGAAAGTGAAGATAGAAATGCATAAATAATAGTGAAATAATTCCTCGTCACATTAAATGATTGGACAGTTAAAGATTGATCTCTACTGTACAGTACCCCTTAGTTTCTGAAAAAATCGTGAAGTGGTATTGGTTGTTCGTGAAATTTGGAAGTGCGCTGCGTGAAATAGGTTTTTTGGTAACCCCCATGTTGATAATGTTGGCGAAACTAGTCTTGGGGTTTTTTTTAAATAGTTTTTATTAAAAACGGGTTATCTCTGTGAATATTGCCAAACGTGTTGTGATAAATTTAGATTTTGGCTAATTTTTTTAATAATAGTAACCCTTTATATGGACTCGGGTTTTTGGTTCTTACCCTTCTTTTCAGTTGCTGTGTTTGTTTGCATGGTATGGTCTTGGATTTTGAACTTGCTATAATTTTCTGTAGGTATCATCATTTGAGTATGTTTGAGGTGGGTAAGAGAATGAATGTTGATTAACAGCGGATGAGCCGAAACAACAAAAAATTTAATTGAATTCTTACGTAGGGGATGGAGGAGATGGTGGTGGGGAAGCGTGAACATATGCACGTGAAAAAAAGGTGTTAAAAAATTGAAGTTTCATTTGTTTATTGTCTCTGTGTGCTAATTTTTGTTAAAAGATTGGTAAAAGTATAGTTTAGGGTAGCCCTTGGCGATTTTTAGCGGTACATGGATACCGATTTTGTGCAATTCTTTGACTCGTTATTTTGGCTTGCGAAGTGGCGATTTTTGCTAACCCAAAATAACAAGACAAACAATTGCACAAACTCGGTATCCATTTACACATCGACTTATTTTCCTTTTAAAAAAAAAAAAAAACCTGAATTGCACAAAAATAGCATTGCGCACCCCTTTGACTTTATCCATGTAACACGTCGACCTATTTTCACTTTAAAAAAATCCCCGAATTGCACAAAAATGGCATTGCACACTCTTTTAACTTTATCCATGGTACATGTCGACCTACTTTCACTTAAAAAGTCAAAGGGGCACCAAATTCTACAATATAGGCAAACAAAAAACACATAATCTCAATAAAATACATTTTAAACCAAACAATAAAATAACATAAAAAAGGAAAAACGTCATACATTTAAGCACGACCAAAAGCAAATATTCACTTACCATGATTTTCGAGTTCGCTTCGTACACCCAGAGCCACGTAAAAATCAAAATATCAATCATACTCAAATGACTTTTTTCAAACCAGGTACTCTTTCTGATCGAACGCTTCACATGTGATCATCTGAACCTTTTTTTTTCCTACAACCCCATTCAAATCCATCTAAACGGTTTTTACGTTCGACTAGACGCATATCCTTCCTACATACAGGACACTTATAATGGCTACTAAGTAAACCTTCATTTACACACCAGTCAATTAAAGCTCTTCTTCCCCTTTTCCTCCAAATCGTACAGAAACTTCATATTAATCTTACTACATTCGACCATTCTACCATCTAAAGAATCAAACCAACACACACCACAAAACACTTACAAAACATCTCATGATTCAATATTTTCCCAGAATCATGCACCCGATTACGTCACAATAGGGTTTCATAACATTTAACTACTCAGGCTACCATAACTGAAACAACAACTTGGCGATAAATCAAACAGCAACTTCGCCATAATATAAGGGGTACCTTAAAGTCTACTCTACCCAAAAGATTTTTTTGTTGTTGGATGTTTTTATGTTAGGAAATATGTATTTTTGGTTATTAGTCCAAAGGGGCTTTTTCCGTGAAGGACTATTGTTTACGTTTTGTGATGTTGCGTTGAATCACGGCTGATCTTTAGAATATGGTAACTGGTAGTTTGGCGACATTTTGGAGGCGATAAAGGTTACTACCTGGGACTTTGGTAATAATGTGAGCAGTACTCAGTTCCGATTACGCATTATTTTGTGTGAGGGAAATGAGAGATCATGGGATATGTCATGTGATATTAATGGATGAATTACGGTTCTTTAATCGGAAAAGGGGGGAAATCTGGAAAAAATCTGGAAATTTTGTATTTGGCTTTATTCTGTGTTGTGTGAAACAGTGTTCGTTAATTTTTAGATCCCATGGCCCTAACTAAAGTGAATTCGGAATGGGTATTTAGTGGGATTGAAAAAGCTAGTAATAAGTGTTTCTTTAAGGTTGTGCGAGATAAAAGTAAAGATGTTTTGTTAAGTTATTTATTTTACCTGGTACATTGGTGTGAACCATAAGTATGATTTTAAAGATCCTGAAACAGAAATAAGAAAAGTTTATCGGACACGTAATCAAGATTCTAAGAAGATAGGTAAGTTAGTATTTTTAATTATTTGAGGATATTATTTTTATGCATTGTTCTAAATGTAAGGTGGAAGTAAAGTAATTTGCGTAACGTACATGGAAATAATTTAAATATTGACACTAAGTATTTGTAACCCTTTGTAATGTTTGCTGTATGAATTAGTTAGTGTCGTTTGTAATATATAGATAATGTAGAGGTAAAAGTTTTGGATATTTATACGGGGAAATGTTCATATTGGAAAGGGTATATACTTTTCGCGATCAGGTAATTTCATATATGTTCTTTTTACCGGGTTTAAAGATTCAGAAAATTGTTATGCATTTTCGTGAAATTTTTTCTAGTTATGAGAAAAAAGCAGTGTACATGGATATAGTGAAGAGTGTGCGCAATGCCATTTTTGTGCAATTCTGGGTGTTTTTTAAGTAAAAAT